CACCCATGCCAATCTCTGCAGGTACGTTTACCTGTCCATATGACAAAGAGCTTCGTTGGCGTGAGCTTTGCCATAGGACCTCGCGCCCCCTGCAATGACATTGTAATACCCTTAGTAACAGGGTTTCACACACACACACACACACACACACACACACACACACGCACACCTAAAGGTAGCATAGGCAGCGGCAGCGGCGGCGGCGGGCGGCAGCGGCGGCGGCGGCAGCGCCAAGAACGATATCGACAACGATGAAGGGTGATGTACCAATCCGAGGAATAGAGAGGTGATGAGAGAGATGTTCAGGAATTCTCAGGGAATTAACATTTCACCCCAAGGCGCCTTCTCAGCGGTGACTGGGCTTCAGAAACACGGCAGCGGCTGCAGCTGAAAGGCCGCTCCTTCCTAAGCTTGGATTTTTGGCAATTGGAGGTTTAGGATTCTCATTCGAAGGGCATCTCATGCGCACAAGCTTCAACATGGGCAATTCATGCCGGGTGTGACTTTGCAAGGCCCCACATCGCTACAGCCTTTTGATGCTTCTGGGGAAAGATGCTTGGAGATAAGCTTGAACGTATCTCAGAGGTCTGCAGTGCTGCCCAAATCATTAAATCCAGGCATGTGAGGTGGCCTCCTCACCTGCACATGCCTGCAAGGAATCTTGCAGATCTCCTTCCCGTCGCTGGGGCGGTGGGCCAACTGGACAATTTCTGAGAGACATGCCAAGGATTTGATTGTGAAGCAACACGAGTGATGCCCTTGCCTGTGTTGGCACAATTTGCTCATGCATGCGAGACACTGTTTAGGGTGTCCATGCGCAGCTCGAGAAGCTCAAGCTGTACGGCTTGATGAGGGTCCATAAACATAGCATGCCCGGGAGGCTCCATGCATTAGTAATGTTGCAGGTCCCGTGCCTTTTGTCCCAAAGTGGTCCCTGGTTTGTTTTTGAGGCAGTGCTTTTAAACCAAGACGCATTGGGACAGTCATGAGCCAGCCTTTGCCATGCGCAGCTCCCTGATCGTGGGCTGAAGTATGATCTGTCGTTGGGCTCTTGGATCGGAAAATCATGTGGTATTGCGATCTTATGCGGGCTATGTCTGGCTGCTAATAAATTCCATGAGGGCTTTGTGTTCGCAAGAGGCTCCAGAGAAAACAGCCCGGCACGAAGGCAGTTCACCTCCGGATGCAGCATGCAGTGGCGTGTTTTAGGGAGATTTCACATCAAATAAGACAGGCTAGTGGTGCATTCCCCAACTGGAGCCAAACCCATGCAACGTGCTTTTAAAATCATGCCATCGATTTATGAGTCGCTTGCGTATCTTTGTTTGTACGTATTGTGAAGGCAAGTTGTGTGCAATTCCATGAGGGGCAATGCAGCTGCTCCTTGGTTCCGCATCATCCGTTCTGTAGGTGCAAGCTGCCTGCCAGGTTTCTCATTCCAAATTGGTTTCCCTGCAAATCAAATTTCAACGATTTCCTTGCACACAGGCATTTCCGCTGTGTAGTCTCCGGATGTCTTATGAACCCTCCTTTGGCATGTTGGCCATTACATTACATTACATTACATTACATTACGTTACATGTGTTCATTCGTATTACGTGTGGCATGCCTCGTTCGTTTACCTTTTGCTTTCACTGGTCTTGCTTGCTGCACAGTTTTTCATACGGTTCAGCCTGGTTCCTCTAGAAGGTGCCCTCATGATTCACTCAAGTTTCCTGCTGGTACCTTTTGGCATTCACAAAATTACTGGCTTTAGTCGGAGATTTCAGGGCGAAGGTGCGCACACACAGCGCATTTTTTAATTGCCCTCAGCCTCACTGCAGTAATGTTGCCATACGATTAATGAGGGGGGTGACAATGATATCTTTTTGCTGCACCAGAAAAATCCCGGAAGATTGCGTTTGCTTGTTCGAAGCCCGAAAAGATGTAAACAAGTTCCATCGGCAATAAGAAGGGGGTGGCAGTAAGAATTTTGTCCGCTGGACAAAATTCCCAACTTCAGGCTATGGTATCTAGGTGTAAATTTTAATGCTTGCAGAACAGACTCAGCAGAACATAGCTGAAACTTTGGAGCTTCTTGGCTTTCGGATTCGCGCAGCAGGTCTGATTTTCAATGAATCCAATTCTAGAAGCCCCAACGCCTTCAAGCTACTAGCCTCAGCGTTTAGTACATGGAGATCAGAGCTCGCCAGCAGCATTCGTTTATTCTCTCGACCCCCTCCCTTCCGTAGACCAAAACGCAAAACAAGATCTGGGGTGGGGGGATTGTTTATTGATTCTCTGTTGGCATGTTAGCATGTGTTAACATTATTCGCTTGAAAAGTCAACATTCCGAGAAGCGAGAGACCAACTCAAGGCAAGAGGTGAAAGCAGGATCTCGCGATGCCCCTAGGTAGTTGATGGTAGACGCGGTGTGAACTGCTGAGGTCGGCTTCTTCTGCGAAACCCACCACGAAGCTGTTGGTGATGGCATGGGAGCGTCTCATGCTCCTTTGCTCCTTTTAGTAGATTTGGTTGTTGAGACTTGGCTTTTCAAGCTAAGGTCTGAAGGTTTCAGCACGGTGCCGGATGGTGGAGAAGCTTGGCGTAAATCTTGCAGGAATCAAGACACAGGAACGGAATGCAGACCTTTTTAGATGAAAGGTCCGCTGGCAATTTGATCTTTGCTTCATGCTGCCGTTTCATTTACTTTACCTAGAATCTAGCACCTGTGGGTACTCAGGTGTCACCCAAGGTCATCCCTGAGAATCTTGCGCAACGAGTGTTGGGAGGCGAGGAACAAACATGCCCTACGGCGGAAAGCGGCATACTGCGCGTCGCCTCTCGGGTCGGCCATGGCTTTGGCCCGACACAGGAGGCTCTCTGCGCTCCTGTCAAACCTCCACCCTCCTTGCTGGAGGAGGATGAGGTCCCACCACCGCCATCAGATGAAGAGGACATTGCTGAACAACCTCTGGAGACGCGCGTTACATCTTGCGAGCTTCACGCTGCGGTTTGGCGAGCTGATCAGGCAGAAATCTCCGCACTTCTGCTGGGCCATGCTGACGTCAATGCAGAAGATGTCCACGGCGTTACTCCTCTGATGCTTGCGGTTGAGCTCATACCACGATCAACCGAATACCTGTCTGTGGTAGAGTTTCTTCTGGACCATGGGGCAGACCCCCGTCGCCGCTCCAGCCTTGGATGGTCTCCACTAGACGTAGCCGTGAGTAGTGGGGAGCGAGGTCTGGTGCGATTACTTTTCGATGCTGCGCAACAGGATCTGCAGCAGCGTTGGGGTGTGCGACTGGCTTCCATCACCAAGTCCCTGAGCCTCCTGCCAGATTTTGAGTGCCGCATACGGTGGGAGTTCGAATCGCCCGTAATTCCGTTGCTGAGCAAGCTCGCTCCCTCTGATGTGCTGCATGTGCGAAAGCGTGGGAGCTGTCTGCGGCTAGACTCTACCTTGGCTTCTTGGAAGAGGTTTCGTTTTAGCAAACGCCGTAATCTCACCATGCTGTTCATAGGCGAGAAGCTGAGCGAGGATATGGATATGGGCAAGTGGACTGACCAGATTTCACGTGGTTTCTACATGGTGAACCATGATAAGCAGCTCGTTGTAGACATGACGCAAAGCTTGGACGGGGCAGAGGCAGCTGCAGTTGTAGAAGATTTGGTCAAGGCGGATGCCATGCAGTGGGACATGAGCGTGGCTAGTGTCGATGTCACGGAAGGGACCACGTGGCTGGGCTCCCTAGCAGGGCCATGTGACGTGAATGGGTGGAACTGCATGCGCTTTGATGTTCGTGGCGAGCTTGGCATGACCATGCGGAAGAAAGGCATGCGCATCGATGGCCTGACCTTCCAGGACTATTTTGGTCGGCCGCTGCCACCAGACGCCTGCTTGCCTGAGCTTCGCCGCGAGTTTGAAGCCACGCGTCAACAAGCTACAAAGCCAAAGGTCTCGCAGACCACCACGCCCTCCACGGAGTGCTTTGTGCTTGGTGATGAGGACTCCGAGGCAGGCTCCATCCAGTCAGAGGTCTTGGAGGACTGGCCCGACACTGCAGCAAGCGCACCGCTTGCATCAGCACCGGCCCCATCCTCGAACCCAATGCCGCCGAGCACAAGCCGGCCTCTTGGGTCCAGGGATCGTTTGGGAATGTCAAGCCATCGGGCGTCTTGGCCTCTAGAATTCTAGAAGTGTTCCTGTGCCGCCGCCCTCCCAAATCTGCTCACGTTCGTTCAGCCAACTTGCCCACAAGGTATCTGGCAGTGTTTGGTTGGCGACTGACTTTCCCATCTCCATGAATCAGTTCACACCGGTTCTGGATGCCCTTGCTGTGCACCACAACCCCATGAAGCGCTTGAAGGACTGCAGGCTGTAAGCTGTTCAGGGCGGCTATGGGGTGTCTGTGTTGTCGCCCTGCGGGTTTTGGTCGCCGTAACGAGTCAAGCTCACTCGTGGAATGTCGCGAACCGAATGGCAGAGATTGAGCCGCTGGGACCAAACATCTCTGATCGAACAACATCCTACACCATTGGGCGGCTGCTGAAGTCATGCAGTATGAATGTGATCAAATTCGCTTGTCAAGAGTGAACGCTGAGACTGAAGATTCTGCTTCAAGCCATTGCGCCACTTGATCTGCCCTAACATCATCCTGGCATTGTGGTTGTGGTTGGCGAGTCAGTTGTTGGAATGATTCTGGTGACGGTCGGTGTTATCCATTATCCTAAAGGCCGTTTGGATAGATTTCGCCGAACCAGCATGTAAGAGGAACCCCAGCGTGCAACATTCTAGTTTGCGTGCCATTCGGCACCCTGGCCCTATGGCCTGAAGGAGCCAAGCCAGCAGCGTCACTACTGCATAGCAATGCAAGCAAGGGCTAGGATCTGTCCGAAGCCCGGCAGGTCAGCAGTAAAATGTCCCTGGAACTGGGACCTGGTTACCAACATTGAGGAAAGTGACCTGGGCTTCTGGGAGCCATGTTCACTACAACACGAGCACAACATCAGAGATCACACCAAACGTTCTGCTATGTAGACAGGGCATGATGCTGAGCGGAGACATGTGCTATTTCAGAGCCAGGCCAAAAACACAGCTTGCAATGTGAACCAGAACACAGCCTAACACGGCCTGTGCCTTCTGGAGCGACTGGTGCAGGGGGCTGAGCTGGGAGCTGTGAAAGCAATGAGACAGCCGCGTGTGGCAGGAGATCGTGCAGTCGCCGAGCCTGCAGGAGTGTGTTGAACAGACATGGACGCAGAGAACTTGAACTGGAAGCCTCGAAGCCAAGCATGAATCGGCGTCAGGAAGCTGCGCGACGTGCTCGTACCTCCACCGAGGTGACCTGCTTTCTCAAATATTCCTTTCTGAACTTTTGCTTTCTGAGAGTGAAGCCAAGGCATCTTCAGGCCCTTGTTCGGGTCCACAGCAGGCACGTCGCTGCTTGGTCTCTTCCGTGTCCTTGGCACACGCCTCTGCCTTTGTGGGGCAAAGGCTGATATCATTCATATCCTGGGGACGACCGTGCAAAGTCAAGTTTGCTGAACCAGACACGAACTGCTTGGGGTTGGATTTTTGAAAGAATAGGAAATCTGCTCTGGAATTGTGCTGACCTTAGTTGCAGGTCTTCCCGGTGCGGGCTGCAGTGCCCATCAACCTGGCCATAAGAGCCACGCTTCACTTCGAGGCTCTTCTTGCGGGACGAAGCTAAGTACACGCGCTTGTTGGCATGAAGCAAGATCGGTTCACGCGTTAACGTGATCTCGAAGAGTGCGCAACCGCAAGGCCTTCTCTTTGGTGGAGCCGGGCGTGCTGCCCGCGGAGCTCTTTGCTCTTCCTGAGACCTATCGCCAAGTGCCCCGTAGCGAGGCCCAAAAGACGGCCTCCCGGGCAAAAAAGCGAATGCTGATTGCAAACCTGGCGCTGTAAGGCCCAGGTTGCGGCAAAGCTGAATGCGACCTGTACAGAATTGTGCAGAAAGCTTTGGGCGAGTAGTCAGCTGTTTTCGTGCCAATTCGGATTGCAGACCAAAATTTCCAGACATCGTTCTGGGCAGGGGAGACGTGAAAAAGCACCAGTTCCAGTCTAGTCATTGATGACAGCAGAACAGCTTCGGCCCGCAGAGCCTTTGCATTCTGCAGTCTGGAAGCAACCACTTCAGGACTGTGGTGATGGCGGCATGACCTGGGCTATGGCTGTCGCGCTCGTGAAGCTCCTAGGCCAGCCCTGCAATCAAGTTCCCAAGGCCTGTGAGCCGGATTTGCAGGTCATCGGCCTGAGTATCCACGACTGCGTGTTCTCGAGCTCGGCAGCTCGGCCCTGGTCGGCTGTGAATTCGATTGCATGCAGATTGCGAATCCTGATTGCGTGCAGCCCACAGGCCCCTGAGCAAGTTGGGGCATCTGGTGCCTTGCCCAAGGCGCCGGACCTGGCCTGGTGGCTTTGATGTTGGCTGCGCGAGGCAGGATGCACCTTGAGTCGCGTGAGTCTTGTGCGTATGCCATCTGGCGGTTCAGACATTTAAGGCCATGAGGTGGTGGCCACAGACGGCTCTGACTGCGTCTTAGAGATACTCCGGGGCAACACTGCTGCTCAACATCGGCCCTGTGGCTTCGAAGTCAGTTTAGGTCTTTTTGGCTTTGAAAACTGACTGCGTTCCCCCGGTCCCTCGGACTTTGTAGTAGCTGTTGGCATTTGTTGGCTTTGTCTCTCACGTTGTTCAAGGATTACTGTACGCCGGCTCCGCTGGCATGTGGACGACGACCTGCGCCACACACGTGGTGCTTTCGACCTGCTTGTAGGTGCTGACCTTGTGCCTGCAGCCCAGTGCAGCGGGGGCAATCGCGCAGCTGTCTGGCATCTTCTTGCCAAAAACTCGGTTTTGTCATTTAAGGCACAGCATATCGCAGTGCGATGCTCTCCGAGCGGTGATGAGGGCTCTGGCCACCGGGCCGCGTGAGGTACTGTTGATGGAGCGGGACAGGCAAGGAGCCTCTATTCAGCAAGGGAAACTGGGGCTCGGCCCAGAGTGATCCGGATCCTTGTCGGACGCCCCGTACCCAGTGCACCCTAGCTCTGCATGCTGCTTGACAGGCTGGGAGAAGCTTCGCGATGCGTGGAGCTCCTGCGCAGTGATGGCTTTGATGTTGAGATGCAGCTTGCCTCGGGAACACTGGGTGATGTGGATGCTTGGATGCGTGTCAGAGGTTTTTGCTCCCGCAGATTCAGGGCTATCTTGTCTTGCAGAAGCTGGACCAAAGTCGGCCTTTTCAGGTCGTGAATGGCCAGCGAAACCCACCGCATCTGAACTCAGAAATGGCAGCTGCGCTACGAATACGCTTGACACCAAAAGCGCAGAGAAAGACAGTTGAGCTTTGAGTCAGGTTGTCGAAGAACGGAATGCAAACAGCTTCAGCAATTTCAAGGTGATGAGTTTGAGTTTGGCCAGGTTCTTGGAGAGATTTCCCTGCACAATGACCGCCGCAGTTTTGAGGAGGAATGGAATGGGTCTCTTGTGAGATTTGTGTTGGACGCGTGATAGTGCATGTGGCAAAGGAAACATAATCCCGTGCATGCTGGAAGGTCTCCTCTCGCTTGCACGATGACTCACCCCACGTCCAGGCCGCTGGCAAGAGGTTGCAGATGGTTGTAGTAGGAGGACGCTCAGGAGGGTTTGCCAGCGTGACATGGTAGACATGGGTGCACAGTAGCCCAAAACCGCTGTTGGCGAGGTTGCTGCAGTCCGTGCGATTGCAAGGTAACTTGGCTGCCCCAAGGATGTCAGTCTTGCTGTGCAGAGGATTGACTTCTAGCCCCTGCTAGAATCGCATGAATGCGCTGGGTTTCTTTGCTAAGCCATGCCAAGCCACAGCTGCTGCAGCTGCTGAGGATGGCAAACTTTGAGGACAGTCAGACGCTCGAGGTGTGGCAGCTGTGGCACGTCCTGCATGCCATGGTTGCAAGGCCTGTGCCGGTCATGGCAGGTCCTTTGCACTTGCCTTCGCAAATCATCACCGCCTGTGCAGCGGGCAGTGCTTGAGGTGCCGAGCTTGGCTTAGATGTTTGCATATCCTGCAGCACGGTTGAGTAATGTGCTCGCAAGCGCAACTTCGGCCACGCAAGTGGCAACTGTGCATGTATCTTCCCGCTTTGGCCCTCATAACTGCGCAGCCGTGGTGACGCAGGGTTTGTGGCTCATGCAAAGCCCTCAGTGGATGATGGGCATATCCTTTCTGTGCGACTCTTGCAAGTATCTACAAGCCCATATACGCGCCAAATCCCACAGACTTGCCAAAGGCATTCCGACGCACCTCTTTCAGATCATCCAGACTTGTTTGAATTTGTACGCGCAAGGTTTTTGTGTAAGGAGGAGCGCAGGAATGCACAAGTAGGCAATGTGAGGCCATGACATGTTTGTCTAGGTTTCAGTTGCACCACTGAGCAGGTCTGCCTGACTGAGGTGTTGCCCGATGTGGCAGCCCCCTGCAGTGAACCGGCAATGGGCGCCGCCAGAGCCGCCTTAGCGGACCGCGAGATTTGCATAGAGCAAAGGTTTTTGCAACATGTTGGAGCTTTGGCGGGCGAGAAGACGGTGCAGCTCTGCTGAAGGAGCGAGATTTGACAGTTCAAGTAACGGTGGCAGCCTGAACTCAGAGCTAAGCCGGCTTTGTTCGGCAACTTTGTGATTGAGCCTGACGAGGCCATGGCCACACTGGCCGCGCTGGCTCCGGGGGATGCAGTATCTTTGAAGGTGCCTGTCCGAATTTGACGGTGTGGCTACTCATAACTTTGAATTGCTATTCTCTTCGTGTTGATGCCATGGTGTGCTATGTGAGCGCGGGCAGTGCCCTGACGAGTTGCTGAGGATTTCAGGCTTCAGGCACTCTTTGGTATAGAATGCTGGACAAGGTTCGGGTTCAGGAGTGACATTGCGTGCCAAGGAATCAGAGCAATAATAGAAGATAAGGTAGGAATTCGAGAACTTCAGGTTCCAGCAATGCAGCATACAGGAACTGTACGGACAGATATTGCTGCCTCTTACTGAGTTCCACAGCTAGGCTCGGACTAGGTATGACAGGACGACTAACCCGCAAGAGTTCCTTGGGCCGGGTTAGCCGGTTCGGAACACATTTGCAAGCTGCATGGGGCATTCGACGCAGCGATGAATGTGTACAGTGGCAGCTTTGGCTCAAAAGCCCTTCGGTTTGTCCAAATCCTGTCTGAGATATTGGCAAAGGGGCGGTAGGGTTGCAGGATGCTAGGTGCAGTGACGAAGGTGCTTTCTTTTCTTAATCGAGTTATTGTGCAAAGTGCTTTTCCTTCTTAATGTGTTGAGCCTCCGTGCTCAGACGACCTCCGTCGAAGACCTTGGCTCCGCAAGCTTCTTGCGAGTCATAGCTAAGGGGCACAACAAGGATGCCTGCCTGGGCACGAGCTTGTTTCACGAGCAAGCAGGATTTACCATTCTGAAAACTGCGGCCCTGTAGCGATCTGGCCGCATTGAAGGTTTGTGTGGTTAAACGCCCTAGAGGTTTCCAAGTGGAGGTGTGGATCCACTAGAGTTGTCAGGTAAAGCTACAGTTCACAGGCGCTGAAGTTCCCAGCCTGAGCAAGTAGACTCCACCATTACTATTGTTAGCTAACAAGAATTTGCGCGCCTTGCAAATCGACAACTGCTGTCTACTTGCGTGGTCGGGATTGGGATCCTGCATATCACCACAATGTCCCCGCCTGCTAACCCACTCGAATGATACTTCAATTGCTTTTGTCAAGTATGCTGCCTGCATCAAAAAATGTCGGCGTGCGAACTTAATTGAGGCTATTGCTTGAGTCGCGTTCAGCCAAGCTTTGGCTGCCAAGACCCTAAGTTGCTTGCCTTTGGACGGCGCCATGCTAAGATGCTGACGAGCCCAAACAAGAGATGGCTGCGTATTCGGCGGAACAGCCCCTGCCTAGCATTCCGGTCGAGCAGGCTCAGCTCGAAAACCTTCCGACGCTTTCAAAGCTCTAGATTGTTGTGTTGGCAGCCGGCACTTGCGCACAAGTACCATCCACGCCCAAGTCTTTCAGCGACAATGGGCTGGGCTGGCAGCGCTAAACACGGGAGAGTTCCTTTCTGAAAGCAATCTTCAACTCCCTGCTTGACACCGAGAAGCCGGATTCATCCTTCGCAAGCGTGGGCCCATTTTCAATCAAGGCTTGAGTACAAACACAGTTACATTGCTCCAAGCGTACTGCCGCATCCCGACTCGGGCGCGGTACGGTGTCAAAACCCAGGTACCGAGCATGTAGCGCCTCTTTGAGGCCTGGAACATTCACAACAGTCCTGTTTTGCGTTTGATTGGGCAGCACTGGGAGTGCAGCCAGTGTGGATGTAAGGGAGCCTTAAAAAGAAATAAGAAATGCAGCCGACCTTGCACAAGGTGAGGTTTTCTGCACAGCTGTCATGCAATAGGCAAAGAACGCATTCAGCAATCCCGCGCCCTGGAGAGCCCATCCTGGGGCTTGAATGGCCAAGCAAAGCCCAGCAGTGTTTGGCGACGGAACTACACCTCAAGGCAAAAGACGAGAGGAACAACACATGTTTAGTGGTGCAAAAGGTATCTAACCTCTTCCCGAGCTCCACTGCTGGAAACTGGACAAGCTGTTGTTGGCTTCTTGATGTAGTGCAGGTGATGTGATCGCTGCCAGGAGACCTGCATTTTGGTTGTCAGGAGTTCTTGCTGTCTACAAGATGCGGCAGTGGGTTCTAAGCGTCTTCGATGTCAAAACTGGTTAGTTCAAATTCACAGCTACAGTAACGGCTAACGAACAGACTAATCCGACTAGGAGGTTGCAACGAGTGAACGTGCGGCCGCGGCTTCTCAAGATAGCGTTTTGTGAACACGGCCAGGGCATCCTGGGCCAAGCCACAACCATCCCAGCCTAAGTTCTGAAGCATCCTCGAATTCCCAGAAAGGCTTGCTGTGCAGTCAACTTTCTCGAATATAATTTGACAGACACTTGAGTGACAATAGCTTAACATCAATGCGTTTTATGTCCTGCCGAAACTTTACATTGCATTTAACTTCATACAATTGCAGAACCTATCAAGCATAAAGCCCTGAACACACAGAACTTATTAAGTCCAAGCTTGGGAGATGCTTGGCGGGTCAGCCTGTGCTGCCTACAGGTGGAGTCTTTAGGATTTTGGCGCCCCATGGCGCTCCATCCTGGGACGCGCACTTCCACCTGGGACCGGCCTCCCATTGGCCTGGCACGCGGCTGATCAGAAATCGGAGCGAGAGAAGAGACCTCATCCAACCACGGCAGAATTTAAACTCACCCAAAACAGACGGTCGTAATTGTGCAGGAGTGAGGTTTGCTATTCTGGCTGGGTCCTGCTCATAACAAATGTGGGGTTTCCAAGGCACAGAGACCCTTTTGGAATCTGCCCGTGTGAGCCCTGCAGCGCCCACAGTACGGCCGCAGCTTGGGCAGAGTTTGGGTGCATCACTGGCAAAAGGACCTTGTAGCTTCGCAGGGCTTCAGCATGCCTCAGGCTGCCAGAGAGCCGTGCCGATAGCAGCGGGTGGACGCCCAGCCCACAGCCCGGCGCAGTCCAGGCAGCAACAGCGAAATGTCACTGGATCCGCTGGATGTCTTTACGTGGTGCGAGCATGAGTTTTGGGGAGGTGCCTCCCACGATGCTGCGCGAGCTCCAGCCCATGCCTGGAGCGTGCCAGGCCACGAAGTGGGGACAGAGCACTTGCTTCAGCACCTATACATGACTTGCTGCTGGAGACGATTGGTCGTAGATCTTGTCTAGCTGGGATAGGTATCGCACGCTTCGGCACCGACCAGGTGAGGACAGTGCGTGGCCTTGTTGACGCTAGCTATCAGGGACTGAGCGCATATCAGCAGCCTGCAAGGGGGGGTAAGAGATATGCAGACATGAGAATGTGCATGTTGTGAGTTGATGTAGATTCTAGATTCTAGACGATGTTGCTGCTGCAGAACTGTGGCGTTGTCCAGCTCTTCTCAGCTCCAACGGCTTGGGACATGGTCGCAGGCAACCTCAAGCTGCAAAGCTTGCTGGGCTATGTTAACACAAACCAAGTTTTGCTCGAGGTGCGAGTTAAAGAGAGAGAAAGAGTTCCGTAGTCACAAGAATAGGCCACAAAACCCCCACACCCACAGCACAAGTTTCCATCATGCTTTTCCCACACAGACACCACTACAAACAACTGACCTGCCAGCAACACCGACATCAGAACAACAACCACTACCGTCATTACTACAAACACAACTGACCTGGAACAGCATGAGGGTTTATACAGAGTTTGCTAGAAGAGACAATCGAAAACAAAGAGAACACACGGAACATCACTGAACATACCGAGAATTCTTTAGCGAGAAGCTTCAGAGGGAATTCAGCATGCAAGCCACACCGAATCTGTGAGCATACGCCTCCTAGTGTCGAGTGGCCACCGATCCAGATAGAGACCATACTGACCAGCAAGTAGTTTGCGGTGCTCACATCTGAAGGAAGATTAACTTATTTAGGGGGCTGTGACCTTGAGAGGTGAAACTAAAGTGTCTGGGGGGCTGTGACATTATGGAGTGAATCCTTGGATGAGGGAAGCAGGTAATTGTCAATGCAAAGCAGGGACACAGCGCCGGATTAAAGGGGGTGGGCGAGAAGCAGAAGATGCCGGAGGGGACGACCAAATCCGGTGCACTTTAGAACCAGACCAGTTGGAAGACCATCGAACTGCGCACGGCCATGGGGTGTAGACCCCGCTGCTCCTTCGGGAGTATGCCTGGCCAATAAAATTACAAAACAAGAAGAGAGAGTTCAGCTGTGAGTTGTTTGCAAGCTGTAGTACGCAGTGTAAGCAAGGCAATGCCTTGTGTGTCAGGAGGGCAGGCTGTAGGAATATCTGTTTTCTTCAAGCAACTTTGCCCATTAATCTACCATGCTAGATATGCTAGCAGCTGGCCATGTTGGCATGAAGCAGCACCGATGCACACAAGGGGCCATACCTTTCTTGCAGGCACCTGAGGCATTGGCCGCGCCATGGCCGAGGCGGCTTGTACCTTCGGTTTTTGATGTCTCTGATTTGCTCTGCTTTTTGCAGGATGGTGGTGCCTCTGCAGAGATTAGCGAGCGCCAATGCCGCACCCACACCTCCCATCCTGCTGCAGCGTGCAAGCACGACCAGCGCAGGGCACGCAGTTGCACCACCAGCACCATGCCAAGCATTGCAGAGGGCCAGCACTGCAGTTGCTGCAGCAGCTCCTGTCCTCAGCCGCTCCTGCACTTTGACGCTGCCAGGCGCGTCTGTACATGGCGTAATCGCAGCGCCAACCCAAGCAAGCATTCTAAAGCGAACCGGCACAGTCACCGTGGCGGAGCCTGCTCCACCGGGTTCTGCAACTACTGCTTCGGCGCTGCAGCGCACTGGGACCGTGACGTTGCCAGAACCAGCACAAAGGCAAGTCATGGCAGTGGCTGGACCAGCACCCACGCCTGCAGTGGCGCAACAGCCCACGCCTGGTGGTAAGTCGATCGTTATGACGCAGGCAACGGTGTCATGAACGCATGAAATAGATTTCAGGAGTTTCAGGATAGTCATTTTTCCAGACTCGAACTTATGCCAGCTAGACGGCTAGGACACGGCAGCAGGCTGTGTTTTGCAAGTGCTCTGCTTCTTGGTCTGTTCTTATGCCCCTCGTAGTTTGAGATACTCGCTTGCTGGAGGCAGCGGCCATGAGGTCGGCACCGCTTCGCAAACCGACAAAGGAGATCTTAGACGTGACTCATGAAGCATCTGACGTCAAGTTAGTCGTGTCGTGTGTTACCCAGTCAGCTTGGAAAGCACTTGGTTTCAGCAAGTACAGCAGAGTCCGACTGTACAAGAGGTGTTGGGCATGAAGCAGAAAGCAGGTCCCAAGTAGGTCTCCCTGAAATGCTTCGCCCGGGCGGTTGCCTTGCCTTAGCTTATGTGCTTCCTCCCTGCAGGACGACTTGCCAGAGGTGGGTCGGCTGCTCTTCCAGTCGATGCTGGGACCTCTGCAGGCGACTGTGGCCTTTGCTAGGCTTGACTGTGGCAAAGGCGAGTGGCATTTTGCTGCAGCCTGCTGACTGGTAGTGTGGCTGGTACTTGTTCGCGAAAGATCTGGAGAGCGTTGAGAAATTGCAGCCGCTTTCGGGTGTAAGCTGAATGTCTGGGCAGCACAGGTTCCAGAGGAGGATCGACAGCTTCGCCTTGTAGTTGCTGGCTTGATGGGCTCTGGGAAGAGCACCCTCTGCCGCATGCTGCGGCACCTTCTTGGAGGACTTGGGAGCTGTGGCCAGAGTAAATAGGATTTTCATCGGCCCGTGTCGCGACCTAAGGTGTATGCAGGTAAGTTAGTTGAGGTGTGCCGGATGCAGCGGGTATCCAGCTTTTGGACAGCATCTCCAGCTGCGCTAGCTTCAGGAACATGGATTAACCAGGATGAATTTGCGGGTCACAAAAACGCGAAGAAGGCATTCCTCAAAGCGTGTCCTGGGTTAATTTTTGTAAGACTTTGCATTGGTTGGTTGCATTAGTTTGCCAACTGTAGCGCAGCTTGTGTGCTAGCCGGTTGTGCCGCTATCACTCAGGATAGCCGACGCAGCGTCTGATGATTCTGTCCCTGTGCTGCTGGTTGACAAGACCCTTGGCTGAAATCTTAAGGCTAGGACGAGCACGAACTAAAGAGGAAACTCTTGCTTGCAATTTCTATGAAGCTTTCAGACTAGTGTTTTAGGGGATTGGAGGGTATAGCAAGAAAACTTCTTTTGAACTTGATTTATGTGCCATATCTTATGTCGTGAGGGCCACTTACATACATGTACATCCAGAGTTTTGGGTTTAAGGCAGCTGCATCTGCGCTGCATTCTAGGACCATCCTAACAATAACAGTCTTGTACTATGAGAGAAACGGGAAAAGGGTTTGGGGATTAAGGTGGCTGCATCTGCGCTGAATTTTGGGAGTTTATTTTGGGGGGTCCCAGCCCTAAACCGTTCCATTTCCGAATGTAATAGACACGTGATTAACCCCCTTAATATTAGGTCATAATCCTTATCAAGGGGAAGGGGTTTATTAATCAGGGGTCTGGGTTAGTGCTCCCGGAGAACCATTTTACCTTGCAGCTTTTTTGATCAGCATGCTCTTGGTCCTGGACACCTTTATTTTCTTCAAAAATCCTGCGCGGATTGCGATTTCGGGAGTTGAAAACACCCAAAATGGCCTTTATCTTGCAGGTTCCGGATGTCAAGCAGCAGGCGCATGGTCGAGGAAGCCACAATTTTCTCTCAAAAACCTGCGCAAATTGCGTTTTCGGGAGCTGAAACCACCCAGCAGGCTCTGATCCAGGACCCCAATTTTCTTTCAGCGAGCAATTTTGAGCCGCTCAGTACTACAAAAGTCGTGAAGAACACCAAAGCCGTAATGAGGCTTGGTTGTGTGGCAACCTGCTGCTTGACACAAAAAACCTGCAAGATAAAGACCATTTTGGGTGTTTTCAACTCCCGAAAACGCCATCCGCGCAGGATTTTTGAAGGACATAGGGGGCTCCTGGACCACGAGCCTGCTGCTTGACACCACAAACCTGCAAGGTAAAGGCAATTTCGGGTGGTTTCAGCTCCCGAAAACGCAATTCGGGCAGGTTTTTGAAAGAAAATTGTGGCTTCCTCGACCATGGGCCTGCTGCTTGACATCCGGAACCTGCAAGATAAAGGCCATTTTGGGTGTTTTCAACTCCCGAAATCGCAATCCGCGCAGGATTTTTGAAGAAAATAAAGGTGTCCAGGACCAAGAGCCTGCTGCTTGACATCAAAAAGCTGCAAGGTAAAATAGTCCTCCGGGAGCATCCTAACCCCAATCGCCAACCCAATAGGTTCCCCACACGTACCCCAGCCTGACCGCTGTTTTGACGGTGTGACATCAAAAACTGCGACTGTTGGTGTTGTCAAGTCCCGAAAACGCAATCCGCATGTTTTGTGACAAAACAAGGTTTGGAAATTGCCTCTGCCGTGTATCCCGACCCTGCGGACTGAATCCTTCAGAACCTGTCCTGATTCTACAAGATCTGCATCACGAAGTCCCTGTTGGCGTTTTTGAAGCCGAGGGCTTTTCTGAGAAAAATGCCCCGACAATGGCTCGTGTGGGTGTGGGGACATAGTAGACCCTAAACCCTATGTGTAGACCGCTCCTGGCGTTGGTGATGTTGTGCATGTACTGTCCTTAGGCCTCCAACGTGAAGATGCTGTCTTGGGGCTGGCTTCAGTATGGGTGTATGCTGGGTTTTTCTTGAAGAGAGCATCTTCTGAGTGCGCTTCTGACCTCTTGTACTTCCCGGATTGTGCCTTGCGCTGCTTCGGCCATGCAAGTGGCGAAGTACCTCAATTCCCAACCCTTACCCCCGCCGTACTCTTGCTTAAGCACTGTGACCTTGAAAAACTGCATAGGGTTGACAAGTGCAGCTGGCTTGAGAAGTTTTTTTACCAAGCGGTACGTAAAACGCAGGCTTTGGGAGGCTGGGGTGATGAACAGTTGCCTGATTTGACAGTCCGTTGTGCTTTCTTTTGGCAGCCCTTGTTTTCATGTGTATATTCGAGGATCAACACCGAACGGCAGCACCGGAACGGCATCGTGCAAGAGATGCGGAAAGGACGTCCAGGTTCCCCCGGTAGGGTTGAGATAAAAATCTGCAGGCGCACGAAATGCCCAGCGGGCCCGTGCAGTGAGATGCTGGAAGTCAATGTTGTGGCAGGTGACATCATCTTTGTGCAAATCAAGCATCCAGACGATTCAGGAGGTTGCCATGTTGCACATATCTTTTTCCTTTTAAGTCCATTGGCTGGTTTAGTGCTGCTCATGTTTTCTTCCGGTCATACTGCTTTCGGCAATTGAGGTTGGAAGAATACTCTCCAATGGTGTGAGAGCCGGATTGCCCGCCGAGGGTCTGGACATCGCACCATCCTCACTCTGTAGACAGCCAGGGCTTTACAAGCTCAGCTAGGGTGCACCAGACAGTCCTATCCAAACCACCGTGTCTGAAAGACTTCTAGTGTCAAGCTACCAAGCTTGACGCGTGTGCAGATCTGCGTGCGCTGCATCATCACCACGTGAGGCACGTTGATGGCTGACAATCCGCAGCTAAAGTCCATCTTGCAGAGGACAAAGCCGGTCTGTTCTGAATGCAGCGGTTAGAAATTTGAAGATTCATGGTCTGTGCTTGTGTTCGTGCCTTATCAGCTTGGACATCATATTAAAACAGAGTTCTGTCATGGAATAAGGCTGTGTCTTCGGGCTTCACTGGTTCTGGCTTCACACGACCCATGTCAGGACAGCTCAAGCAGCAGAACCTCTTGACAAGGAGGACCTGCGCCCTTCTCAGAAACTCTGCGCTGCATCTTCTACTTCTGACCTGCAGGAAACCAAAAACTTCATGGCCATACTTCGTGTGAACATGGTGCAGACCTCTATCGTGCAGGTGCGAATTGGTTGATTGCGTAATGTATTACACTAGGATTCATGCCGGGCGAAAAGGGCCACTGTGTTGCCATGTCACAAGGTCATGAAGTTGCTGGGCGATCTTGATGAAGCTTGGCTTAGGAGTCTGCCCTTCCTCCGAAACCCTTCGTTAAACAGTCAGAAGCGTGAGTTTTTTTGCTGATGTGTCCTGCGCTGCAGACTGAAGGGATGCGCCCAGGAGGTTGGTGTCTTGGAACCCCGCTTCGAGCTGGCTGCGCTGCTACAAGAGCATCGCTTGTTGCAGGCGCAGGATGCCTGGCGCTTAGACCCCCTGACTGTCGCCTGAGTTGCAATGCTCCTTGCACTCCTGACATGTCAAACGGGCACTTTGCCTTTGCCCGCCCAGGCGGCGAACAAGGCAGAGCGAGAGCTGGCTGGCCAGGCAAAAGAGGCCAAAGGGGCAAAGGGCAACGAGGAGAAAGCGCGCCCTGGGCTGGCAAACATGACTTTTTCTTTTCGTCTCGGTTGCCTGGTAGCTGCGCCAAACTGCGCCTGGGGACAGTTCAGGAAGGGGCCTCCGCCAGTTTGGTACTGGGCAGTGCAGCTCGAGCAGGCAGCCTCTGCTGGTTGTGTGCTGTCTTTCCCGGCTGCCATTCCCTGAAGAGCCAGCAAAAGTGCCCTGTACACCTGGGAGTGTGTCCAACTGGGGGCTGCTGGCAGCAGAATTAGTCAGCTAGTTCGTCGAGAAGCAGAGCCTGGTCTTTCCTGCTTTCGCCCGTAGGCCAGCGGAAAAAGAATTCATCAGCTCTGAACTGGGAGGATCCAATGGCATGCAAGTCCTTCAAATGCTTGGGAAGGCGTCGTCGGAGCTCCTGTTGAAGCGCTGGGAGCAGGAGGAGGTGCCAGCTGTCAGGATATTGAGCATCACTTGAACAAATGGTTGTCATGTTGTGATGGAGGACTGCGCTCAGGCGACAGCTTCTGGCATTTCCATGGCGAAGGACCCCTTGTCCGCCATCAGTTGCCAGACTTGCCGTGCTCGGAGCTTCGTGGCGCATTTTCCGACCCTGCAGGAGCACCATGTCACCCTGCTTTATTTAGGTGGTGGAAAGGATGAGGAAGTTGCGGTGAGGCTGGTCAAACGGTTCGCGTCAAAGGCGGCATCTACCCCAGCAGGCATTGTACAAGCATTCTCTCACGACCTCATTGCATGTTTATTCGACAACTCTGAGCTTTCTGAAGCTTCCAGTTGCTTCTCAGTGCTCATACAGGAACCCGAAGCTTAATGGACCAGCCCAAGTTGCATGGCTGCGGGACGAGTTCAGGCGGCGTGAAGGCACCTGCAAACGATGATGTCGAAATATCGCAAAGCAGCAAAAGCACATGTCAGAGGTGAGAAGGTCAACATGGACATCGGGAGCATCGTTTGGGAAGAAGGCCTTCATCATGTCTGACATTGGCCAAAATGGAGCAGCAGTTCTCCAGAACAGTAAGATCAACATGTGTCGTCATAGAGTTTTCATGCAAGTCTGGAAGGTCGCATTGCTGCTGCTTCTGTGGCGCTTCGCGGAGGCGTTGAACAGCTTTGCGCGAGCCATGGCAGCAATTGCCCGTAGGGGCTGCGGTCAGCGTGGAGACGGTTCTTGCATTCACGGCAGGGAGGTCGAGGATGAGTAGATTCGTGGTGGAGAGTTGGCAGGAACATCCACCCGCACATCACTCTTGGAACAGCTCCACGTGTGACGCCGGTGAAGAGCAATGAGGCCTATAGTTGCCAGCTCATGTCATTTGTAAGTTCCAATGACAGGCAGAGGACCGCTGCTAGTGATGCAGACTCTACAGGTGCTTGCTCGCCGGTCTGCGACGTTGGACTTACAGACAGGTTTACAGGCTCAGAAGATTTCTTGCTGGAAATTGCAATTGTCATGAGTGGCTGGCTTGCCACAATTTAAGAAGTCGTCGCCTGTTTGCAAGGCATGGCTTCAGCAACTCAGTCTCTCGCAGAAACACGGCTGGATTTGATCTCTTTTCAGCTTTTGCAGTGCTAGTGCGACTGCTGGCATCTTGGGATGTGCTGCCAAAGGGGGAGTCCATAGGCAGAAAACAAGCCAACAAGGTATACGGACCGACTTGCTGCTTGGTGCCGTGACATGGGTGCCGCCTCGCCGGAGGAGAGATTCGCCAGTCCACAAATCAGCCTACTGTACGTGGTTTTTGGTTCTTCGCCACGCGGCAGAACCACTTAGAGACATGATGCTCAGCACAGGAACTTGCGGAGTTTGCAGCAGAAGCTGCAGCAGCTATCGAGACTGAGGATCTCGAGTCTCAGGATTGAAGGGTGCTCCAACATGCCATCAAGTAAGCGGGGTTCCCTGGAACTGACAGGAACGAGTGGCGGAAGTGCTGAAGCGTGCAGTGGAGCGGCCGTTGAAGGAGCTGGTGCCACTCAGTCCGTCAAAGATGTTTGAAGAGCATTACCATGGCCTGCATGCCTTACGCCTGAAAAAGAATGAGGCTGGCAAACCCTTTGCAACTGAGCGGCGTCATCCATGGAGTCTCATTGAAAAGATCGTGACACCAAGCCCTCAGTAGGATTTAGCAAACACTTAGCAGCATACCCGCCATTATGACTGGGTGCCCGGCAATTTTCCCGACAGAAATACACATTACTTTTTCCATGACAGGTTGCACTCAAAAGGGAAATTTCCTAGTTTCACCTGAGGAGCATTCTCCTCGAACACTCTCCTCGGGAACACATTCTCGTGTTGGTAACCGGAACCAGTGTTCAAGCTCATGCTTGTTCGCAGCTATCTTTCCACTGGAAAGGTTACGCATGGGCGCAGTGACAAAAAAGATGCCGCTCGCAAGATGTGATGGTGTTTGGATGGGGTGCTGAAATGTGCAGGCAATGCTCTACAAGGTCTGTTTGCATGCAAGCTTGGACGTGTGTTACGATGGGTTGCTTCTGGCTTTCGCTTGCAGATGTTGTTCAATTCGGACCTTGGTAGGACGCGGTAATTACTTGCTAACTAATAGGGGCAACTTCATACGCAACCTTGGTATCAGATTTGGCAGACCGAAAGCTTGTCCTAAAGGATCTCCACAAGGGGGCAGGCATGACTGCCACTGCCACAAGTGTTAGTGCAACCAGTTCAGAGTTCCGAATGCTCAATTCTCTGAGCAACTCCCGACTTGCCGAACAAATGTGATGCTTTGACAAAAGCGAGCAAGGTGTTTTCTTCTGAAGAGCAAGTGATGCACATGTTGTGAATGAAGAGCGGCCATAAGTAATGGGACATGGGGTGATGGTCATTTGTAGGCAATGATGCGTGACACCGGGAGTTTTCATGAGCTGACTTCCATCGAAGCTGAGCGTAACTTTGCTCCTGCTCGTGGTAGCGTTTGCGTTGAGTGCCGGATGTGAGCTGGGCCTGCAAGCCAGGGACTAGTGGTCCCTGCTCACAGGAGCATGGGTTGCGGCTGGCTGCGCCCAGATGCGCCCAGCAACTCCGATGCGGGACAAAAGCAATTAAGATGAAAGCCAGACTCTAGCAGCGTGGGCTTGAGTCTTTGGAGCAACTGGTGAGCTGACGAGCAGCTTGTACTTGTACTGATGCGGTGCGCAGCTAATCTAGATCATGGCCCAGTCAAGTCTTTGAGCGTTCATGTCCACATGCCCTTCTCTGCACACACCTCTTGGCTTCCGTGTTTGAGCAGGCAGTTCACCATACTGTATAGTTGTAGCCGAATACTCCTGGCAAGTCGCGCCATGTCTCGACAGAAAGACACAAGAGCCAAGCAAAACGGAACACCTGGGAAGCGATGCCTAAGGATTGTAGGGACAGCAGTTCACCAGCAACCCACTCAAGCTTCACTGCATGCATGCCAGGATGCCGAGGCGTATCTTTCCGACAACGAGGCTGGACAAGCGGGCTCCTGGTGAGGTCCACGAGCGCTTGTAGATAAATGGAGAAGGGATGTCAAAAGCTAAGAATCCTGAGAGGCATGTCGATTTCTAGCAGTTGAGGATTCACAACCAAAATCCACATTCATCGCTACCTATATGTCGGCAGCAGATGGCAGTGCCAGGCTTGTTGGTCACAAGTCAGCATAACCCAGCCTGCGCTGCAGTCCCCAAAGTGTGGCAGCCAGAGGGTAAATGCGGGATCTTCAGGAAGATGCAGCTTCCAATCTAAAGATGCATGTAGGCACTGGCTTGGGCTCTAGTATTGCCCCTGTGTAATTGTCTATCAAGATGATGGTGATGGTGATGGTGATGGGCTTGGCAAAAATCCCCCAACTGCCGGCAACCGTCTGCTTCCTTCAAATTTTCCGCCTGGGAAAAATCTACCTCATCGGGCAAGGCATATAACCATCGCACTTTCTCTTCCTCTGTAGGCTGCATTGCGCCGTGCGGCGCTGCAGGCTATAGCAGCTCTGCAGCTCGATGTGCAAACAGGCTCCTTCTGAAAATGGGCTTTCAAAAATGTTAAAGCGTGCTAAGTGGCGCTGATGGAGAAAGACCCGCGGACTGGATCCAATACACAGGGTCTCACGTGGACCTGCCAGCAACCCGTAGATGCCCAAGGTCTGCCTCCATGGGCCAGGAAGGCCGAGCGGCGGGGTTCTTAGTGTACTCATTCTTGTTTAATTGCAGTACGGGGTGGTTGCTTTCTTGGTTGACACGGCAGTTTTTGTGGGAAGTGCTGTTGTGCAGTCATCAGGTCATTGGAGGATTGTGTTCACTGTAAATCTCCGCCTGAAACTGCCGCTTGATGGTGCTGCCGCAACAGATTCTTTCCTTAATCAAAGACTTTAAGCCGCATGGACTAAGGCCGCTCTGAGCAAGGTTCTGACAAGGCCCTGGCACTGCTGCAGCATTTGCAGGAGTGAGCGGCGGTAAGTGGACATGATGGCCATTGTCTTGGTGCAAGATTTGGGTGCACAGATGCGGGCAATGCCATAGCCATTGGCTCAAGAACAATCTGTTGCCGGAACCCCTGCGGCACAGAGCTCCATATTCGCAATATCCGAGCAATCATGACTTTTACGATGGTGCTGACGCACCTGTCCATTTTCCTTCCTCTGTCATGCGCTCTTGCGGCAGAGGCTGACGTGCTGAATAACCTCAACATTCAAGTGTCCTCCGCACTGTCAGCCGATGACAGTTGTGATAGGAGTGCATCCAATGCTTGCGGCTTGGGTGCTCTGCAAGCTGCAGTGCATGCGCGCAGCGCCAAGGAGAGGTCTCTTGATACCAAGCTTCCTGCCGGTGAGGAGGAGCATTCCATCTTTGCCGCCTCCTTACTTGATGGAACAGATGCTGATGAGAAGTTCAATGCTTCGCTCTCTGCCGGCAGCTCGAAGGCAGCTGGCAATGCAGCCTGGCAGGCCATCGAGCGTTCTGTCTTCAAGGACTTGAACAACTTGAACCTCAATGCCAGCCAGATTGACAAGCTCTTCAAAGGCGTTGTTTTGGCTATCGCAAGTGAGGCGGAGAGGAAGAACCAGAATGAGATGGGCCGTGGTGTTCTCAAGATGCTCCGCAAAGCGGCACTGAAGGCGCTTCGAGCCCAGAATGCCGATCCTTTCGATGTGCAGCCTAGCTATTCCTGGCTAGAGGAAAATGAAGTTGAATATGCACGGGCATCCTTGGCACTTCCCATCACTGGGGGCTCTATCCTTATTCTTGCCCTGATCTCTTTGAACTTTTTCCACCGAACATTCGGCCCCAAGAAGGACGACCAGGTCGGGTTTCCCGGACATCTCTCACCTGGTCTGGATACGACTTCTACGGCAACACCCCCTCTAAGTGATAATCTGGAGACTGGGTTTGAGGACAGAGCTGATGAGAATGCAACTACGTCTGGCAGCACAAGTGGTATGGAGGACTACGCCGTCTCTGTCTCCAGTGGCGATGAATCAGTGGCTCCAAAGAAGGACGATGATGTGAAGGCACCCTTCAATGCTCTCTTCCGCTTTGCTCGTCCCTATGACATTTTTACCACTACTCTTGCTATGATGATGGGTGCCGTGCATGGCGCTTGTATGCCCATGGCCTTCTTCTTCCTTTCCGACCTTTACCAAGCCGTCTACATGCCGAATGACGATGGCTCCTTGCCGCCCGTCCATGCACCACACTCCATTCGTAATGGCAAGGTGGCAGAGGTTGGCTTCACCTATGTTCTGCTGGCTCTAGTTGTCTTGGTGGCAAGAGCTGGTGGCTGCTACCTCGTTATCAAGGCAGCAGACCGGCAGGTAGTGACTGCACGCCGAGAATACTTCAATCAAATCTTGATGCAAGGTCCCAGTTGGCACGACATGCACAGTGCGGCCGAACTTGCTCCACAGCTCGTACAAGACACACACTTGTTCCGGGATGGAATTGGTGAGCGGCTTGTTGATTTCACACGTGCCTGCTCAATGGCTGTGTCAGCTACGGTACTTGCTTGCAGTCGCGATTGGAAGGTCAGCATACTGATGGCCATCATAATGCCAATCGCCGGGATGTGCATGGCTCTCTCCGTTGAAGTCGTCCGGAACTTCTCAACAGTGGTTGAAGCCTGTTACGCTAAGGCTGGCGAAGTGGCTGTGACAGCTACCGAACTCATCAAGACTGTCACAGCTTTCAATGGCCAACGGTTGGAGCTGGAATCCTACAACGGGCATGTCGATGAGGCGCACCTGAATGCCGTCCAGATTGGGGTGGTTGCAGGCTACGCCACTGGCCTTGTCAACACAGTGCTGATCACAGGCATGTCTCTGGGCGTCTACTTTGGCTCGCAATGGGTGCTTCAAGACTATGAGTCGGATTGCTGGCGTGCTGCGCCACCATTTGGGACCTGCCGGACGGGCGGGACGATAATGTCGGCCATGTACACCATCATTTGGGGATTTACTATGGGCCTGGGCACTATGAATATGTGCTTCACAGCCTTCGCCAATGCAAGAGCCGCCATGCACCGGATTGCCAACATCTTGGATGAGCCGCTTAGTGCCACGAGTGGTGGCAAGGTGCTATCCAAAGTTGAGGGCGAGATTATCTTCTCAGATGTTTTCTTCGCTTACCCGAAGCGTCCTGACACCCTGGTTCTGAAGGGTGTCACCCTCGAGATCAAAGCAAATTGCACAACCGCCTTCGTGGGAGGCAGTGGCTCCGGCAAAAGCACGCTTGTGAGTTTGCTGCTGCGCTTCTATGAGCCCAAGACTGGCACCGTTTGTTTTGATGGTACAGACGTGCGAAACCTTGAGCTTCAATGGTTCCGATCAAAGCTCGCGCTTGTCGAACAGGAGCCAATTCTCTTCCAGGACACCATCTACGAGAACATTGCTGCTGGAAGCGCGAGCACAGTCTCCAAGGCTGACGTGGAGGCAGCAGCTGCTCTCGCCAGTGCTCATGACTTCATCTCGACATTCCCAAGGGGCTACCAGACTATGGTCGGCGAAGCTGGGGCGCAGTTGAGTGGCGGTCAGAAGCAGAGATTGGCCATTGCTCGAGCTTTGATCCGGAAGCCAGCTGTGCTTCTGCTGGATGAGGCCACCAGTGCTCTGGATTCCGCATCGGAGCAAGCCGTC